TAGGGGACAACTGTGTACATTTCTCTCCTCTTCCACCGATCCACAGGTTGTAACTTCAGATAGAAACGAGGCCCCTGAGTTCATGCTAGAAATGGGGGGGAAGTAAGAAATGATAGGCTGTCAGATTTCCTGAGAAGGTGCAAGGCAGCAGAACCAGAAATCAAGGCTGAGTTCTGCACAGAAGGCTGGGTGGCATTCAGATATTACCTACGTCTACCTTAATGATTCCACTTAAGCTGTCATTTTCTGCATTTACCTTGCGGCATTCAAAAGCAACTATATGTATGTGTTCACAGCCAACGCACTGTCAGCATTTCAAAAGGAGTAAGAAAGGAAGGAAAATGGTATATGATATATTTCAAAAAAATAGTTTCCTTGTAGAAAATTAACAGTAATTTTGACACCACTCTTACAGAGAAATGAACTTTCTTTGGAGAGTATTAAAAAATGCTGGCACTGAGCAAAAAGAAGGGAAGATGTAGGCACACACATAAAAAGGAGGGATGAGGGAAGAAGAAAGGGAGGGAAAAAGGGATGGGGGACAGAGAGACATCAGACTTGCTGTTTTTCATCCTTTTGTTAGCTTGTGAGATACTCTAAGCTCTTCCATCGACTGCAGGAAGGTTGGGGATGATGTCATCCTGTCTCTATTCACTGTGTGACTTCCTGAGAGTGGTGCAATGCAGGGCCTTCTTTTATTTCCTGAGACTTTATTTCTTTAGCTTCTTCTAGGATGGTGGTAACAAGGGATTTAGTGTCCAAATGGCATCAGTAAGGTCTCAAGAAATTAGCTGCTTTTGAAAAATCCTAATACTTGTAGTCTAGAAATGCAAACTACTTTAAATGTGACTTTTTTAAATGATAATTGGCCAGATACTCTGACTCAATTACTACAGTTTCTTCCTTAAATTGGTTTCATTTCTCAAGTTCTGGTTGGAATCCCCTTTTCATTTCCCAGGGCCATCTGTTACAAGGGTCCCTGTGCTTCTGGCTCACGTGACTTCTACTCTGCTCATGGATCACTAACCCTGAGTTTTGGGTTGTTCGGTTCTGTAATAATATGGCTGTAGAGCCCCAAGTGTTAAGGGTAACAGTCTTCATGTTCATCAAAGCAGCTGCTGGCTGCTGGCATTACCTCTTGGAAGGCAGAAGTGTGGGAAACCCTTTAGGATAGAACCTGGTGATCCTGTCTATGCCCTTCCCATCACCGTATCCGTCTTCTCTGACTGAACGTGATCTCTTTGGAAGAGATAGAATGTGTGAACTGTACAAAGCTAATCAAAGGGGTATTGAGTCTACACTGCTATGAAGAAGTCAACATTTATGTTGGGTGAGTCTTTCTGGTGGAGCATCTGACGTCATGTAGGTACCATCTCAAATCATGCTATGTAACAAGTGCAAGAAACACATTAGTTACCCAAGCCAGACTTGAAGGAATCATGTATTGGTTTGTTGTTGGAGTCCTTTAAGGAGTAGGTAGATATTATTTCTCCAAGGAAAGTGTTGTTAAAATGGATGTGTATTTTCTTCTTTCTCTCTATATTTTTTTTGCAAATTTCATACATGGGTACTACCTTTGCATCATTTCCATTTCATCCTGTCTTCTATACATCTTCTCTCATGACACCCAACTCCCTTTGAAATTATGACTTATTTAGATTGTTAAATCTCTATGGGAAATAGATACGTAAATGCAGCTTGTAAAGGCCATTTAGTATAGTTCATATGTGCACATATTTAGGATTAACTCCTTGGCACTGAATAACCTATCGGGGGGCTCGTCCTTGAAACAGATTGAGTTGCGCTCTCTCGGCATCCATTGGTTGCTTGTAGCTCGTTACCTATGGATAGGGATTTATGAGATTTCCCCCATCCATGTTGGTACATCTGCTGTAGTTCTCATTGTTTATGTCTTGTTTAAGTGATCATATTTTTTATATATCATGGCTTCTCTGTCATATCTCAAAGACATGGCATCACAGGAGATGTCCTAGTCCTCTGGTTCTTATAATCTTTCCACCCCTTCATTAAGATGTTTCCTGAAACCTATGTTAAGGTGTGCTGTAGCGGTATCCATTGAGAGTGGACACCTCATAGTCATTTCTCTGAATTTTGACAAGTTGTAGATTTCTGTAATGCTCTCCATCTGTTATAAAGGTTAATTTTAAGTTATTATTATTGCCATTATTATTACCGCATGTGAGTCCATGCATGCCTCAGCATAGGTTTAGAAGTATGCTGAGTATGTAACAGGGAATGCCAATGTGGGATGAATTTGAGACCCATCCACTTTGTAGAGCTATGTAGATTCATTCTCCTGAACTCCTTCTTCTGTCTACTTCACCTTTGCATAGGGCATATCTACAGAAACATCCAAATCCTTTTAAACTAACAATGCTAATATGGGTGGGATAGGATGTGATGGTCCTCAGGTATTCTGTTCTGTTCCTAAGTATCGAGAGGGTGGTGATTTAATCCATGTATGGCGTTTTGAAGCAGGGTCTTGGGGAAGTGATTAGGATTAGAGGTCTTGTTAGGGTTGTGTTTTGATGACTGATTCTTGATGGCTTTATGAGGGAAGTATGGGGAGAAAGAAAGAGGGAGGGAGAGAGAGGGGGAGAGAGGGGAGGGATAAAGGGAGGGAGAAAGAGGACAGGAGGGGGAAGGAAGGGAGGAAGGAAAGGAGAAAGAGAGAAGGAGAGGGAGAACGAATGATGAAAATGGACATGGAATGTCCTCTCTTTCATGTGACAACACTGCCTGGAACACTACTATCACCGGATGCAGTCTTGCAACCTGAAGCTACACCTGTGAGCCAAATTGAACTTAATTTCTTTAAAACTTGCCTGGTTGGTGGCACCATAATACCATCTAATACATGCAGTAACATGAAAAAACATGAGATTATTGTTCAAGGGAACCTGGCTTCATGGAAGGAACATTGGCTTGTCACTAAGTAGATCTGCCCCATCTCCCTGGAACTGTCTACTTGTGAGCCTTTTTTTGTGTGGGTGTAGCAATGAAGTCATCTTTATGAGACCACAGAGTCTGTTTACACAAAGTGGGACTTTATAAGTCTCTTTTTAATAAACAGATGCAATAATGTATTAATAAACAAAGTCAGTGTGCTTGACTAATTCTCTTGGTCCCTTCCTGTCTCCTGTGGCCCTGGGGAGGATGCTCAGTGTCCTTTTAGTATGAACATGTGAGTCAACATGCATGGCACTCTTCTTAAGAGAGACTGTGCTCTGTCTTTTCTTATTATTTTGAGAAAAGGATGCTCTAAAGGAGAAGAAAATTAGATTTTCTGAAATAGCTGGTAGGCAGGGAATTCCATTTGTGTTATTGCAACGAGATTTGTCTTCCTACAAGGTGGAGCACACTGGGAAGCCTAGTCTATGGGTTCATTATGATTTTCAATTATTTTTCTCTCTTAACTGATGAGAAATAGTTTTGTCTTATCTTTGCATCTAGAATATGATCAGCGTTCAATCGTTGTTTCTGAATACATGGTCAAGAACACAAAAGGTCGTAGTGTCAGAAATCCAGACCAGGCTGGAGCTGGGAGGCACTGGGAAATATCTCACCTCTTATTTTTCCTGTAATTCTTGCAGGTTTTCTTGCAAGCAGTAAGAAAGAGAAGGAAGAAATGCTAGGATGTCTGCTGGGTTGATGTGCTGGGCACTGACTCTAATCCTGTCTTGGAATTCATGAGGCTGACAGCACATTTCCCTTCACATTTGCCATCTCCCTTCACATCAGTCTGTCTTGACGGGAGCAATAACTGCTAGGCAAGGGTTAACACTTGCACGCAGCTGCTTTAGCTTTCACCAGTAGCTGGCTTCACCAAGGAACAAACTCAGATCAGAAAACGCAGTAGAAGCAAAGGCAAGACTGTAGAGTGTTGTCCCTTAGTCAATAATAATAATAAAACTCTACCTTTTCTAGAAGAGCCAGGTGATGTTCAAAGTTTGAAAGGGATGGCTTAAGTACAAGGAAACATAATGAATGGCCAATCACGTAGCTCAGTGGAAGAGCATTTTCATGCCTGGTATGGCTGTGGCCCTAGGTTCAATCCTTTGCACATACACAAAATTAATCAAACTGAAAATATTTAAAAATTAAATGCTGGATTTATCCACTACATGTGTTTACTATATAAAAATCTTATATAAGCGTTCACATTTCTCAGCTATTTTCCATAGCGCTTTTCTTTCCAACAGATTCTTTTCAGAGATTATCACCCCACAGCAAATTGGGAGTTTTATTATATGCCACATTAAGGCACTCCTTCCACACTTTAAGGACAATAAATCTCAACCCTGAAGTTAAGATGGAATGGAACAGAAGAACTGTTAACTCTGCTGTCCATTACAGAATTCCTAACATTAACCATTTTAAGGGACATGAATATTATTACCACTTTCCTTTTAGCCAAATAAGAAAAAGAAATACAAGACATGTGTGTGAAACAATCTTTGATATCAGAATGCTTCCTGGCATAATGACCCTTGTCGTTATTGTGAGGACTGAAACAATGACTCTCTGAACTGTTGTAATATTACCCATAAATCATAGCTTTATTCTTCTCAGTTGCTTCAATACCATTAATCAATGATGTATATTCTAAACTCAATTGTTTTCTTAAAAAAAAAGAAAAACCCCACAGATATTAGGCTAGATGGATGCAGGCTTATCGAACTGCAGTGTTACGCTTCCCACAATCATGCTGGACCATTTGGTAGATATCAAAATTTAGATTTCATTTTTCTGCATAATTGAAAGGAAATTTCAGCTAAATGTGTCAGCAACTCAAGAAGCTCAACTCCCCACAGGTGTTTAACCATCAGGCATGCTCTTAGGGGATAGTGCTGCCGGCTGGCTAGGCCGTGGTCTACAGATGGGGAGAAGCCAGTAGGGGAAGAGCGGGAGGTCAGAAGAGCAGGAGAGTATCAAAACCTGGAGAAATTCCAAAGCAAACCTCATCTCTCATTTCATACCTTTGCTGTATGCTGTCAGTCTCTCCCCAGAAAGCATTATTACTTTGTAGCACTCCACAGGAGTTGATGGGCATCCGCATGCTTCCCTCGGCTCACCGCCTCGTGGATGGACTTCTTCATTACAGACCACACCGCAGTTCTCTAGGCTTAATGGGCATAAATATAGCTACTCAAAGAGGGAGGCACTTTCCTGTCCACGAGGATATTACATCCAAGAGACGAAAGGAAAACCTGCTAATTGAGAATCGCACTTCAGTTTAATTACACAGATGCTAAAATAATGTAACTGAAGCGCCTTAAAAATATAATTATCCACTATGCAATGCTTGAGAGCGTGCTTTATCTTCAAGCCTTTAATGTACATGATCAAGAAAAAGCTAACAAAAGGATCATTCCTGGGCAATTTGGGAAACTGGGACATGTCTAGGTTTGAAAGATGTTTCGGAAAGCATCTTGCGTTTGGAAGGACTCATCAGAGGCATTTTCTGAGCAAGTACACACAAAATCCCTCTTTTAACCTTTAAGTTCTTCAAAGGCTCCTGGGTTTAAAATAAATAATGAATTTTGTGGTGCTGTGTAACTGCCTAATTTTTGTCTCCAACATCACAAAGTGTGAGATGTGTCTTTGAAAAGGATAACATGCTGTTTCAGTAATGTGACTTGGAGGTCTACAAAGATCTCTTAATAAGTTAAGTATTCCTTTCACAGATTCCTTTCCTACCCTCAAATCTCACCATGTTTCATTTATTATTAATACCATACTACCTTCTTATAAAATTTCCAAACAATTCCATTCCTTCAGAATTGTCCCATGGCTTTCTCCTGTGGCCATGATTAGTGGTACCCAAGAGGTGTGCATATTGGGTGCTTGCTGGTGAGATTCTATTCTCATGATTCAAAGTGGGCAGTGGCTGCTGTCTCTAGAGTCTCCAGCAGAAAAAAAAACATCATTCCACAAGAGGAGCACCAATAACATCTGTTTCCTTATAGCAGCCTGTGCGTTACTGAAAGAACTTCAGAGATCCGATTCAGGTTTGCAGAGGTACAGAATGGGAAAAGGAGTAACAGCAGAAAGTTGGGAGGCAGGAGACAGACTGTGCATCATTTATAAGGCAAAGGGTAAAATGGACCTCTTTGGTGATACCCAGTGGTACATTCGTAGATCTTTTTGCCCATCCCTAATGATGTATCTATCCACTGATCTCTTCTATCATCCCTACCGATGCATTCAGAAACCTCTCTCATCGTCTCCAAGGCTGCAGAGGGGTGTGCACAGAGGTTGAGGAGTGGGTGTGGGGCTTTGTTGTAGCTAAGAAGTGTGGACTCCTTTTTCTCTCTGGCCTCTGACCACAAAGCTCAGAAAGAGCATGTGATGGTTAATCTCGATCACCAGTTTCATTGGATTGATAAAAGCTTGGGGAATTAATGAGGCGTGCCTCAACACCCCACCTCATGTTCTCTCTACCCAGATGCATGGAAATCTGATATCATGATCCAAAATTATTTCTCCTTTTCTTAAATTATTTTCTCAAGTATTTTGCAATAGTGACAATGATCAAGGGGTTAGTATTTAGTCTCTGCAGTGTGGGAACATTGACTTTTCTCCAAGATCTGGCACCAGAGTCTAAACACCTCGACTCTGATGTAGATGCCACCTCCCAGTAGCTGTAGTACAGAGGAAACCTCACTTAATCTATTCCTCAGTTTCTTACTTCATGAAATAAAGTTAGTAGTAGTACAAGCTTTGTATAGTGGAATAATTATATGAGACAATCCAAATAACACATTCAGAAAAGCATCTAGCCCCTGTGTGAACACTCCAAAAAATCATCTGCCATCCTAGCTTAGGCTAGTTCTACTAACTCTACCCCGGGTAGTGTTCTTTGTCAAATCACACATACATTCAAACACCTTCTGCACACACAAGGTGGGCTATATCTTGCAGAACATGGAAGAAGAAGAAAAAATAACCCACAAAGTCTGTAGAATTTGGATTATAAATCTATCACTCAGCAGATCTATCTCTTTGGGACACTCTCACTCTTTGGGGCAAAGCAAAGCATCCTATTTTATAAAAAGGAAGAGTGACTTACACCAGGTAGTCCTCAGGTTGCAGAGCTACAGATATGTCTGTCTTTATATCTGGATCACACACAGCTCGTTACCTCTGGACAAGAGGCTGCTGGTTACCTGGACATCTGCTAATATAGCTGGACCTGCCACAGAAGACTACCCAAATAGTTGCATTTTCAATTTTAGGGCAATGATGTACTTCATATTTTGAGTGAAATAAGAATACGGGGAGGTATTTTGCTTATTTGTTAACCAGTCTTAATAGTTACCATTTATAATTAGTGGTCTTCAAATTTTTCCATAATGATCAAATAGAAGAAAATTTCAGCATGTATAGAATATTTACATGTATATATTGACATTTGTTGAAAAATAAATCGGGAGCTCTAATAACACATTTAAGAGCAATATTTGTAAGCTTATAGTAACAATACTCGTTTCTTGCTGCTGATTAATATAGAAATCTCTAAGCAAATTGCCTTGCACAGTTTGATGTGTGCTCTTCCAGTCCTAAGTCAAGGGGAAATCCACAATGAGGATAGAGACAGAGCAGTATGAGGGGGCTTGAGGATTAAGCAAGTACATGTTAAATATTAACCCACTTTCCCACTGTATTATAGTTTTCAAACCATGAACAAATCAGATTTGCTGAACTTGTTTTCTTCATTCTGACATGGGGATGCTGTGTTTACTTTTGGGTCTTTGTAGTGGAACTAATAGATATAACTTGTATGGGATATAAAAGAGTATCTGTTGCTTGGTAGCTTAATGTTGATCATCCATGATTGCAAAAATTACTGAGGATGCTAGGTCATTCCCACAGCATGGTTGTACAATCCCAGTGTCAGTCTCCATCAGGGAGACAATGCTGTCATAATCATCAAAGGCTGTTTTAAAATGCACCTTAGTCCCCACCCCTGTCCCTTTTCTTTTTTTTATTTTAATTTTACATATCTTGTTTTACATGTCAATCCCAGTTCCCTCTCCCTCCCCTCCTCCCTTACCCCCCCACCATCTCCCCATCCTCCTACCCTATTGCCAATTCCTTCCACATAGGGGATATCTAGAGTCTGTCATTTCACTCAGGGTAGGGTCCAGGCACTCCCCTAAGAGTTCAGGCTGAGAACTCTTTGTGTTATGGACACACGATGTCTGTTAGTATTCGAGGGATAAACAATGACCCACTGCTCAGGACCCCATAGGTAGCCCAGGCCTCCTCACTGACTCTCACATTCCCATGCTGGCCTCCCAGCTGTCAGTCTGGGGTCCAAGAACTCTCCCCTGTTCAGATCAGCTGTCTCAGCTGGTTTTGTCAGCCCATTCTTTGCCAATTTGCTCATTGCGCCTCTCTCTCTGTCGCTGGGTTCCTTGGGCTCAGTTCAGTGTTTAACTGTGAGTGTTTGCCTCTGCTTCCATCAGTCACTGGATGAAGGCTCCAGGATGGTTATAGACTTCAAGTTCATTATCAAGAATGGTCATTCGAGGTGGTCTCTACACTATTGCTTAGCTTTCCAACTGGTGTCATCCCTTTAGATCACTAGAGGTCAATGGTGCCTGATCTGTCTTCTAACCTATGATTCCCTCTTCCCCCTATCCTAACCCCCCAGTCGACCTTCCTGTTCCTCTACATCCTACTCTCTTTTCCTCTTCTCCCCCTCTCTATTTCCCAGGTCCCCCTCCCCCCACCCCTTGCCGTATTCCCCATCTGTTCAGAGGATCTTGCCTCATTTCTCTTCTCTTGGGTACCATGCATATCTTTTATGTTCTTTCCTGTTTCCCAGACTCTCTGTCAGTGGAAGTACAGACTGGCACTCTCCTGATCCATGTTTAAAATCCATATATGAGTGAGTACATACCATGTTCATCTTTTTGTGACTGGGTTACCTCACTCAGGATGGTTTCTTCCAGTGCTATCCATGTACCTGCGAATTTCAAGATTCCATTGTTTTTTTCTGCTGAGTAATACTCCATTGTGTAAATGTACCACATTTTCTCTATCCACTCTTCAGTTGAGGGGCATCTAGGTTGCTTCCAGGTTCTGGCTATTACAAATAATGCTGCTATGAACATAGTGGAGCAGATGCCCTTGTTGATGAATTTGCCTCTTTTGGACATTTGCCTAAGAGTGTAATTGCTGGGTCTTGTGGTAGATTGATTCCCATTTCCTGAGGAGTCTCCATACTGCTTTCCAAAGTGGCTGTACAAGTTGGCACTCCCACCAGCAGTGGAGGAGTGTTCCCCTCTCTCTACATCCTCTCCAGCATAAATTGTCTTCGGTGTTTTTTATTTTAGCCATTCTGACAGGAGTAAGATGGCATCTCAAAGTTGTTTTGATTTGCATTTCCCTGATGGCTAAGGATGTTGAGCACTTTCTTAAGTGTCTTAATCTCCTCTATTGAGAATTCTCTGTTTAGTTCTGTATCCCACCTTTTAATTGGATCCTTTGGTGTTTTGGAGCCTTGCTTCTTGAGTTATTTGTATATTTTGGAGATTAGCCCTCTGTCAGATGTGAGGTTAGTGAATATCTTTTCCCATTCTGTGGACTGCCTTTTTGTCTTGTTGACTGTGTCTTTTGCCTTACAGAAGCTTTTTAGTTTCATGAGGTCCCATTTGTTAATTGTCGATCTCAGTGTCTGTATCACTGGTGTTATGTTCAGAAAGTGGTCTCCTGTACCAACTCGTTGAAGAGTATCTCCCACTTTCTCTTCTAAAAGTTTCAGTGTGGCTGGATTTATGTTGAGATCTTTGATCCATTTGGACTTAAGTTTTGTACAAGGTGATAAACATGGGTCTATCTGCATGCAGTCTTCTGCATGCCAGTACCCAGTTATGCCAGCACCATTTGTTGAAGATGCTTTTTTTCCCCATTGTATAGTTTTAGCTTCTTTGTCAAAAATCAAGTGTTCATAGGTGTGTGGGTTAAAATCAGGGTCTTCAATTTGGTTCCATTGGTCAACCTGCCAAGTTTTGTGCCAATACCAAGCTGTTTTCAGGACTATAACTCTATAATAGAGCTTGAAGTCAGATATGGTGATGCCTCCTGAGGTTCCTT